GAGGCAGGTGTGCGTTTGTGTTGAAGAGATCAGGCAGAAATATCCCAGGCAATAAAACGCAGTCACGGTGCGTTATTGCATACGTCTTGTACTTTCAGGCATCTCGTCGGGCAGCTAAGTGGTCATGGGAAATCCGTTGAGTTTTCATTTGAGTTCTTGTTTGCACGCTAATTATTGTCGGTTTATTTTCGGCCATAGAAACGCAAACCATAGCGCGCTTTTTACAAACGTGAGACAAAGGGCCTCAACCCGCCTCTTGCGCCATCTGTGCTCCGTCATTTCCGCGATGTCATCCAGTGGGCCAGCACAGGAATGTTGGCGGTTGAAACGAAATATCAAAGATGCAAAAGTGAAATATAGGCTTGACTGAAATTGACTTCTCTCTTTTTTTTTTTTTTCGTCCAGCTTTAAGCGAGTAAAAAGTCACGCGGCTTCAGTCTCTCCGAAAAGCTCGCCACTCACATATTTGAGGTATTGGATCATGACGTCGTGGAGAGGAAGCAGTCCCGCGCTGCGAAAGATGGACGGGTTCCACATGGCGGCTCGCGCCAACATGACGGACGAGGCGCCCGTGGCCTCCTTGAAGGCTCGGATGTCGCCGTGGGTCTTGACCAGGTCCAGGGAGCCTCCGCTGAAATCAAACATGCATCGTCTAAGCCGCGAAGTGCCGCAAAGCTACCGGATCAACTTTTTAAAGAGACCAAAAAAGGGGCATCGTTCAAACCTCATTCAGGCTAACCGTCACAACCCACACGTGCAATTTCCAACTCTTGATTCTTTCCTTGAACCCCCTCAGCCTGTCGGCTCAGATTCGTTCAATAGATTCCTGCAGTTTTTCTTTGACAAGATCGCTTGAGCTCGGAACCTTGTTTCACGGCGATGGCGGCCACGCCCGTCTTCTCGATCCGCCGCGCCAGGCTCAGCGTGTCCTCCAGCTAAATCAAAACATGAAGTCGAGAAGAAGATGGAGGAAATATGAAGACGTATGAGCTATAGAAACATGTTGACATAAAAAATACAGGAGTAGGGTCATGTGTCTGAAATCTTTTTAAAAACCAGGCCTTTGTTGTTTTTTTTTTTTGTATTATAGAAGAGCAGCAAAGTTAACCCAGCCGCTTGGGGGCAGTGCCCTCCCCTGGGGGTGCGCTGTTCCCCAGTGCCGGTCCCAAGCCCGGAGAAATGGGGAGGGTTGCGTCAGGAATGGCATCCGGCGTAAAACTTTTGCCAAGACGACCATGCGAGTTGGTAGGACGGTTTACAGGGGCGGATGGAAATTACTGACTCGCTGTGGTGACCCCTGAATAGGGACGTGCCGAAAGGGGAAGAAGAAGAAGAAGAAGAGCAGCAAAGTTACGTAGCTAGCTCGCTCTTTTAAATTAAAAGACACAAAAAGTACTCTGCCAGTCAATGGAAAAAAAATGTTTTGTTTTGAATGCACAAGTGAAACCTGTTACCGTTGTACCTTATCAAGTTAGAAACATGAAATTTATCACATTGGGCGATTATGCGATCACGACTAGTGAGTGCGATAAACTTCCGGTCGATCACAGTGATCACCATTGACTGGATCAGATGTGACGGAAATGTGGGTGACAAGAGAATGATGAGGAAAACGTTTTTTGTTTTTTTTTTTTGGCCGCATTACCTAGCCCTATTTCTTTGCTAGTTGGCGATGGAATGATCCTAAATGAAGCTCCGCCAGTGGAAAAACACACACATACACACACACATAGCAAGATGTAAAGGAGACGTGACGAATGGGACAGTGAGTTGTTGTTGTTACCGAGGGCAGTATCCTGATCTTACAGGTGACGGGTACAGACACTCCGCTGACCAGCTTCCTGAGGATCTGCAGGGATCAAGACGCGCGTCAAAACGTCTTCGCCGGACCAAAGCGACGCCAAGCAAAGCAAGACCTGGCCGCAACGCCCCAAACACTCACAGCCTCAACCTTGTCGGGATCGGACAGAAGAGCCGCGCCCATCCCGCCCTGCAACACAGCAAGTACGCGTCGCTGACAGGTGGGCTGAAAAACGCTTGGCGATGTTCTTCAACTGACCTTTGTGGAATATTCTTTGGGACAGCCCATGTTCACGTCGATGGCCGCCACGTCCTTTTCCCTGAAACGCCATTGCAATTATTAAGGAGTGTTTGGGGGATTTAGGGATTCATCTCAGTCTTTCTCGCTGCTCAAGTGATAGTCATAAACATTACAGGTCACATTCAGAACATTGGCGGCCATTTAAGATAAACTTCGGGTCATCAACGGGAACTCACACCAGTCGGGCCACGGTGAGGGCTCGCTCCGGGTCAGCCGTACCCTGCAACGAAACCAACAGGTGACATCAACAGGAACGTGTGTGTGAGTTTGTGTGTTACTTCTTGTCTCACCATTTGGAAGACGACTTTCTGCTTTTCCTTTTCACACGTCCTGAACATCACGCGATCATCCGGAGCCACAAAATCCACCGTCTGTAGAACCTCTGCGAACACAAATGTCCAGTCACACACACACACATATACACACGCGCACGCTTTCCAATTCCCAGCACCAACACTCGCCATTTTCCACCCTGTGACACTGCACCATCTTGATGTCAATCAGCTCCTGCCAGACAAGACAAACAATTCAACAACTAACACGGACGACGGAGGCAAGCAGGCCTCGACCTTGACCGAGGAACTCGGGTCTCCATCCTCACCTCGCAGTAGACCACGTCAGCGCCGTAGTCCAGCGCTAGCAACCTCATGGGCAGCGTGCCCACCCGCACCATGGGGGCTAAGGCGGTGATGTTTGCGAAGCTCAGCCTGGCAGCCATGTCCAGTTGAGTCCCTGAACGCAGCACCAGACCAAGGTACAGGCCTTAAAACTACAGCAATGTCATGTTTCACGTTTTTCTGAAATAAAAGTTATATTATGACTTATGGTCGAAGCTTTTCCTCACTGTCACACAAGACAATTTGTGTGAGAGTAACAAAAGTAGAAGGATTTGACGACGGATCAGTACATGGGACTTCTGCCAACGGGGAACAACTTTCAGCATTTCCATTTCAATGGGATGAAACGAACCAAATTGAGTATTAAAAAAAAATGCCTCATGGCATAACTTTGTAAGAAGATTGCATCCACTCCGTACGCTGTCTGCTCGCAAGGCGACACTCAAACGAAATTAAAACTCGAACTCTTCTGAGTGGAGTTCGGCTGCTCAGACAGTTCGGGTTAAACGATCGCATTTTAGTTCGTCTTGCTGGCATAGTAGCGAGACGACGTTCGATCAGACGCACACAAATTGGACAAAACCGTTTTGACAGAATGTTACATTTACTTGATGTGGACTCACCGACATGTAAAATGTCAAATTAGGTAATTGTGCCGCACTCGTGCAGATAGTTGACGCGTGCTCCTTTACTTCCTGGTCGGGTGACGTCATCACGCTCCGGCGTATATCCGCACTATGATTTAAAAAAAAAAGGCGCACACAAGACAAATAGAGACGACACAACTGAGATTTTACTGTGAAATAAAAAATATTCCAAATTAAAATGGGAAGCTGTCGTAAATTTTAATTTGACATGGAACCAATCTTGTTCAAAAGCATAAACATGATTAGATTGCACTCTATTGTTTCTCTTTTAAATTACTTTTAGAAAAGGCTCACGTCTAAATAAGTGATATTTAACAATATTGCGTTGTCAGGACTTTACAAATAATTTACAGTTGGGGAAAAAATGTCAGTTTATGGAAGTATTGCTACGACACCAGGAAAAAAAATCACAACCACTTTACACCGTGATAAATTTCACCTTCGACAAAACAAAGCGAAGCAATTCCTTCAGGTTACGAGCGAACACATATTTTTAAATCTTAAAACCTTTTTAAACACTATTAATTAAATCCCTCCTGTTTTTTTTTTTGAAATTTTATTTAGCAGGGTTATGAATTGTGTTGCCAGGAGCTTGTTTTGTAAGACACAAAAAGAAGACGCGCTTCTCCCACCATTGACAAGAGCTGAATACATTTGCCACGTTTTGTTTCGCCAAATGTCGAAGGGGAAATCATCACGTTATAACGCAATAACTTATCATATCAAAAGGTGAACATTGATCACGGTAAAATGTGAAATTTATCACATTTAAACTCCATCATTCTATAAAGTGACACGGAACTACGCCCCCCCCCCCCACTGTGACACAGAAATTGTTGAACTGAGCAAAATATTTACAAACAATAATAAAATAAAAGACGATGCTAAATATGCTACGTCCTAAATCAGTCAATTAGTGATGGAAAAAAATGTTGCCCTGTAAAAAGTCAATCCCTCCCAAATCCATCGACCAATTTTCCGAATTCTTGGTGTGTAATATCTGGGTTGAAGTGACCATTCCAACCACACGTTGTATTTTGACAGAGTGTCAATTTTGGGAAGTCGCGTTGCTATTTCAATTCTTTTTTTCATAAGAAATATGATTTATTTTGCACAAATAACGCATCTGTGTTCATCTTTTTATTCCGGTGACATATAGAGATGGGTAGAAGACTAAAATGCTCTTCCACTAAACCTGTGTATCCACCTGTTGCCGTTGTCGCAACAGAATAATAGCCAAGTGTGCAAAACAGAGCAGGTCGACATTTCACAATTGTGAATAAATTGAGACATGAACATTACTTCAGTCAGTGCTTTTTGTGACATTTTTGTTAGGCGGTGTGCTGTGGGATTTTTTATTCTCCCCCGTGTAAAATACTGTCGGCCAACATTGCGTTAGATGATGTGGCTATCTTAGCCGGCAAAACGAGTGGTCTAACTCAGCAGTCTAACTTGGACTAAACGCCGTCTAGAAAGCGGATTAATTCAACATTTGCCTGGGTTTCGATGCCTGTTTTGATGTAAATTTGAGTTTTCTGTCAATAATGTTATCTAAACTTGAGTCTCATGAGACCTCAGCGACCTTCACGAGGTTGCTGCGCGACTCCGTCATCCAGGGGAGGACATGCCGGCGACATGAGCAAGCGGTACTTTGTGTGTTGGCAAACAAAACAACACGCAAAAGTCTGCAAGGAAGACAAAAGCGTCCAGTGGGCCGATGTCCATCCAGCAAATGTCACACAGGGACGTTCCCGCGCAGCGCAGGATGAGGTGGCTGCAAGGAATCTCAACAAGATGCGCTTGCATTGATTGTTAGGAGTGAGCGGATGAACCGGACGATGGCTCCGTCCGCTCGGAAGGCTCGGCCACCTCGATGGGGTCCAGCTGAGGAAAGACCACGAAACACAACCTCTGGCCCACGAAGGTCACCGTCTCTGCGTGACAAGAGCAAAGTTACCAACCAATGCTCACCATTTCTTCACATCACCACCATGTAGCTGTCAAGTTAGTGTACGGCCCGGCCGATAAATTGGTGTGCCGATTAGATCGTATCACTAACATATATGACAACATTTGTCAGTATGTAACCAATCCATTTTTTTTTTTTTTTTTTTAAGACGGTGGTCTTTGAGGGACCCCTGGGAAAGAGGCTAAAATGGCTATTTCCGTCCAAGCTGACAGACTGCTGTCGAATGTTCAAGACGACATTCCTGAAAAGACACGTCAATCTTTTCAGGAATGTTTTTTTTTGAACATTTTTTGAGGGGCTACTCGTGACAGAAATGTTTAAGAATCCCACACGGCAAAGGGAAACTGGCTTGGAGTTCCGCAACTTGTGTTAGCACGTGGAACAAGGATGCTTGCTCCCATCACAACTCACCAATGAAGCGGTTGATGCACTTTGGTTTCGCCCTGCAGTGGACACCCAGAAAGTAGACGGGCACGCCGGTGAGCATGATAAGAAGACCCACGCCGCACACCAGGGGCTCTGAATAGAGACTGAAGCCCAACAGGAGCGCCCAGAACATCAGATAGCACACGGGCACCAGCAAACGCACCTGCGGGACACGCCAGTCATGATATTAACCATCCGCACGATTGATTGTTAATGGACTCTTACGTCTGCGTCGAAACACACGAGGGGATTTTTAGGATTTCGTCACACACCTGCCCATCTCACCGCCTGTCTTGTCCTGACCTGTCCAGTTCTGTCCTGTCCTATTTGCGACTCATTAGGTCCCTTTCTCACAGAGTGGAGCCTGGTACACTGCTCTTGTCCAGGTCCAAATGGTCCTGTCCTATTTACGGGACCTTCAATCCCTTCCTGCCAGGGTGTGATACTGCCTGGCTCACTGCCTCTGTCCTGTCTTGCCCTATTTGCTAACTCCTCCAGTCCCTTCCTTACAGGTGGTTGCACTGCTCATACAGTGAAAAAAATCCAACTGATTTACAGCAAAACGGTTCCAAAATGGAAGTACGGGCACACAGAGCCACCTACAGTGTGGCCGGGAAAAAGAAAAAAAAAAAAGAATAGTTGATGGGACCTTGATGGGGCGGTAGAGGTTGGGCTTCTTCCAGCGGTAGAAGAGCAGGCCCGCGATGGTGACCCCGTACGACAAGTAGTTGATGAAGGAGACGTAGTTGATCAGGTTGTGAGTCTCCCCGATACACAGGATCACCATGGCGGCCGTGCACTGCAAACACCCAGAAACAAATCAAACATGCTTTCATGAGAGAGGACAGGAAGCGACACACGTGGCTGGGGGCTTGAACGTACGCAGACCAGCAGAGCAGGGATGGGCGTGCACTTGTTGACGTGGATCATGGCCAGCAGGCTGGGCAGGTGACCCTCCCTGGCGCCGGAGAAACACAACCTGTCGGCACAAATTTCGGTCAGCTCTCACGCCGGCGGCGCGAGAGACGCAACGCAGGAAGCGTCACTCGCCTGGAGGAAGTGAACAGGTAGCCGTTGATGCCTCCGAACGTGGACAACGCCACAGAGATGGGCATGATGACGGAGAACATGCCGAGCAGCTTCTCTCCGAACGTCTGAACGGGAGGGTGGGTCAGTCAAGCCGCACCGAGCCAGGCGGCGGGACGCGATCGCCAAAGAATGGCCGTTGACTACTCAGACCTGACGTTATATTGGGAACTGTTGCATACATATCGTGCTGTGCTATTTTCCTCGCTCAGTGTGCCGTTATGCAACATTACCCTCTGTGTGTGGAGCGCGTTATCGCTGTGCAAAGCATTGACATTGTAGGAAAACTCACGACAGCAACGGCGTTGGAAGAAAGCAGCTCGTCAGAAGACATGGACGAGAAGTAGGCCATGTTGGTCAGCGTGTAGACCAGCGTCACCAGCGGAATGGAGATGTAGATGGCGCGGGGTAGGTTCCTGAACAGCAACAGAAACGGAGAGGAAACGTGAAGCCGGCAACGTCTTTGTAGATTGTCACTCATCCGGGTTTTGATAATCGACAAAAGATGAACGGCGGCAACGGAAATCCCGTGGCTTGTTGAAGACGTTTCACCTTTAATTCAAAAGGCTTCTTCAGTTCTGGAGTAGAGCGGATCGCAAATGGAACGTGGAGTGGAAGACGAACGCTTCCCCACTCCACGTTTTCATTCCAGACCTTCAGTTCTTCACCACGGGGAATGGCTCTCCCTCCGCCTCACGAGAGCCACTCTCCAGCCTATTTTAGATGTTTCCTTGCTACAATGCACCCGATTCACACGATGAGGATCCTTGTCAGGCTTCTGTCAAGCTTGCTGATGAATGGATCATTTGAATCGGGTGTGTTGGAACGGGGAGACATCCAAAACAGGCCGGATCGGGGCTCTCGAGAACCGGACCTGGGTACGCCTGATCTAAAGGACCTACACACCTCGACCACAACCATCACTCCCACAGACAGAAGAAACAAGTTCCCTTCTTTCTATCTTGGGACGTGGTACCCTTTTGCCAAGTGTCGCTGGTAAATAAATTGTAAAGGAAGAACAATGGCCAGAGACATGAACGAGGAAACTCCACACAGAAGAGAGAGGAGTGAAGAAGGCTAAAATTCAGGCTAAAAAGCTCTTCAAAAACCAGCAGCGAGTCCAGTCATCTTGAAGTAGCAACGGCAGTCACCTTCTGGGATCCACCACCTCCTCCGTCACATAGTTGAGGAAGTTCCAGCCGCTGAAGGCGAAGGAGGCATGCAGGAAGGCCAGCGCCATCTGCCCCACCGAAGGGGTCCTCTCCATGGAGAAGACCGCCTGAGGAGTCAACGCCTCGAAGTTCCCTGGAGGGTCGAGAAGCAGACGCCAGCCGGCCGTCAGCTCCCGGCGGTCTTCCCGCAAGGGGAAACGACGTGAGCAAAGAAGGTTTACCCTTGAAGATCTGGACCAGACCCACCGCAATGATGAGGCCCAACGCCAGCAGCTTACCAACCGTGAAGGCGTCCTGGATCCTGGTGGCCATGCGCACGCTGCAGCAATTCACCCACGTCAGCAGCACTGCACGCACACATGCACACGCAGCTTTCAAAATATCCGTACGTCCCGATAAAATGATGACCGATACTTGGGGGCTACTTTTTGGATTTCCTCGGTTGCCATGGCGGTCTGGAAGGGCCGAAGGGCCCATTTTGATGCCCTGTGAAAATGAAGCGTCTGTGTAGCCCTACTGGAACATCACTCCCACCATAAATCAGGGAGTACTTTACCCTCTTCCTCCCGACTCTATCCTTTAGTTCCTCCACCCCATCTCGACTCCCTTCATCCCTCCTCCTTCTTCTTAATCATCTTGTCGCCCGCCTTTCCTTTGCTCCATCCCTCCATCTTTCTTCCCTCTGCACTTCCTTGACTCCCAATTGGATCTCCAAGGTAGCCATCTATCATCGGTCTCGGACACGTTTCCTGTCGGCTGTCGTCCTCCGCCTCATCCCGCCATCGCGGGTGTGCGGTTGACGCGGCTTACTGGTGTTGTGTGGAGCGGGTGGGTCACCATGGTTTGAGGAATGCGCTGTGCTCGGAGCTCATCCATCACTGTCACGCCCTCTCACGGTGGCCCGGCTCTCCGGCACAAAGAAACGCTTGTCAGCCCGGCCAGACGGATTGTTTCCGTTGCGAAGGACTGACAAAACGTGACCGCCCCACCAGAAAGCTGGCCAGCGCCACCGCCGGCAACAGCACTTCTCGCGCTCGAGGGAGACCGCGTTCACCTTTCCACCCCAGAATGATGACGTTTCAGCCATCTGCGGAGGGATCGCCGGTCGGCAGGTAGCAGTTAGCTGAGGTGCGGGAGGGACTCCAGTCACATGACTTGACTCCAGTCAGGAGTCACCGATGAGACACTTACTGTGTGGTCAGGCATTCATTCGGTCTCACATCGGACAGCCGCGGCTCACACTTCCCGCTATTTCTTGCCCACCCTGTTTTGCGCTCCAACACTCAACGCCAGCACGATGGTCACCAAATGCATTCCAGTGACGTTCAGGTGAACGAGAGCCTAGTGAGCCCCAACATACAGCGGCCTCCCGTTTTTATTTTCACCCATGTCACATTTCTGGAGAAGCCTGCTTCTTCCTGGATTGGAACGGACTCTTTTTATGCTTTATTTATTGTGAGAAAGTGAATTGTACGCGCAGCCTCAATGGAAGCTCACCATTCAGGGTGCCCATGTATCAACAGCCGACATGAACCCTCAGATGAAAGGTGATCTCCGTACTCGAATTGAGCACAACAGCAATGCAATCAGAGCAAAGCTTATTGACGTGTTGCAGATTAAGGAACTCAAGTGTTTTGGAACAACTAGAATTAGGGGTATCCCCAGCACAAATTATTTTGCAAACCTGATAAAAGGAGATGAGAGACCCCCTCCCCCCCCAAAAAAAAAAACAAACAACCGATGGCAATGGAACGTTTCATTTGTGCTGTTCTCCCCAACAACAGCCCGGCCGAGGTGACTCACGGAGGCAGGTGGCCGACAGCACTCGCGTGGCGGCGTACGGTGGCGCGCACTCAGGGAAGACGGGCTGCAGCACGTAACTGGAGAAGGTGAGCGCGATGACGGCCAGCGTGGTCGGGTACATGATCAGCACGGCACTCCACAGTAACAGGAACCTGGCGGCGGAACAGCACAGCGACGCCGCCACTTCATTAGGTACACCGTCTGGTCTTACCTCCTCGCTGGCGTTTTAAAATCGATTGGCCGGCTCTGCTCGTGTAAGTCAAGTCATGTTTAATGTTTCGGCAAACTGACTTACAAGCTTGGTCACCGATCAATTTGATTCAAAAGTCAAGGAGCCACGATGCTCTGCGGTGGATTAATTGGGCCTCATTCACTCCGAGATACGTTGAAGTGTTGAGCGGAGACGCAAAATCATGACACGTGGGGACTGGCCTTTTTCTTGCGTCAAAAACACACATACGAGCACATGAACAGAATCAGGGGAAGTGTGACAAGTGCTCTTTCCACTGTCA